CAATTGCATTTGCTTAGCTGTGTGTGTGTGTGTGTGTGTGTGTGTGTGTGTTGGTTTGTTTACTGCTCTTACTATAAAGACTCTACATTAGTGTTTGTGCTGGTGTAAAATGAGGGGATGAGGCTGCCAGTCACACTTAACAAACACACAAAGACACACTTTTAAATCAGTTCTTTGGTTTTACAAACACAAACACACACACACACAGACACACACAGACACACAGACAGCACTAGGGTTTTCATTTGCTCTGTAAATGGATATTTGAGGCCAAATTATGATGGAACACTGCTGCTCAATCGTTTAGTGGTCGCACACACATTCCTTTCTTCTTTCTCTCGCTGTTATTTTTATCCGTTTTCCTCGTTCCGTTGCTATTTCCGAAGGCTCATGCTTTCTTGAACATGTTCGATACATTTAGCTCCTCTTTTTTGGCTTCCACTACTGCCACTACACTGAATGTGTCCTAGTTTGTGCCATAGCATTATGTTAAGTGCGCTCACATTGCATGAGTAACATAAGCTCTGTCTGTTTCGGTTTCGTGGTTGTGTTTCTTGCAGGGGAATATTAAACAAAAGCGTCGGAGTCAGTGTGATAAGTCAGAACCTACACTTTCAGGTGAGTCCATAAACCAAGTGTTGGGTGTTTGCTGCCATCTGGTGGCTCATTATTGTTTAACACATGCTGTGTGATGAGTGTGCTCTTTCTCTTCCTCTTCATCCCATTTAATCTTTAGGGAATACTGATAATTGTACCCACCCTCCATTAGCCAGTAGAACTCATTCTGAAACTTATTTATGAATGAAAAAAAGAGCCATTTAGGACTCCAGCCAGATGCGTCCAAATGACAGTGAAACTAATTTGAGTACTTTAGAGAGCAGTCACAATAATTGAGTTCATTTTCAGAACTCGATAATGAGCTTTCTTTTTTCTCCTGCACTAGGTGATTGCTATCATTTGATGGTTTTCTGCACTTTAATATCATATCAGTATATCTCTTGTATTTGTGTATGTGCAGAGTTGAGAGAGCTAAGAGGAGCTATACAAATGGACCTGCAGCTCTACCCCTCTATGTTGTCTGCTTCACCACCAGCTTCCTCCCCTCTCCCTATGAAGGAACTGAAAAACAGGTCCAGGTTAGTATGTTTTTCTGTTACAGCCCGCAGAAAGGCTCTTCGTTCACTTAGTCGAGGAGCAGCAGGGGGGAGGGCATAACAATCAGGGTCGGGTACCCGCTGGATAACTTGCAAAAACGTTGCGTAATCGGTAATAAATATATTTATATAAATTCATGGGTACAGGCACGGGTAAAAATGAATTCAGTGTGGGCGGGTGCAGGCTATTTTTTAACATTTAAATCAGCCTGCTCATAATTTGTGTCTTCTCATTCTATTCAAGCTTTCTCAATGTAAGCATGATGTTACTACTTACTTATCAAACTCCTGTTACTGTACTTCTTTTCTTTATGCAAGAAGACAATGTTCTGTCAATCTAAATCCTATGCTGATTCCTTTTCCACAGACTACCAGTAAGGCAAAGGGTTTCTGGGGAGACTCTGGGAACTTTAATCACTTCATCAGCCTTCAGACCACATCCACCTCCTCCTATGTGCCATACTAAACCCAGGCCACCGTCGGGCGCTCCTCCTAGCAAGACCTCAGTTAAACTAATTAACAGTCCTTCACTGTCTCGCACTCATGGACAGCACAGAAGCACATCAGCCTCCTCTGGACCTAGGAAAACACATACACCTATCTCGAACCGGATCACCTCTTCTGGACCCGCCAGTGACCAGATAATGGTTAAACCCTCACACCACTCCAGTCTCGCTCCAAAGCAAGATAGTGCTGGTCTCCACTGCAGGGCTCTGACTACATCATCCCATCGCACTACTCACAGCTCGAGCGGAGATTTGTCACCACAGACGGAAAGAAAAAGCAGCTCAGCCTGGAGGTCAAGAAAAATCAATGCTATCACCTCATCCCCCCGCTGTGATGCCGGTAGTTACAGCAGCAATAGTACTGATCTTTCTATGTCAACAACCGGGAAATCAAAGACACAAAATGGTACCTGCGGAGGTAGTTTAATATCAACCACAGTGCAAGTGGATAATGACACAAGGAAGAGTACTTCTGAGAGATTTCACTCTTGCGTTGGCAGTAGGAAGAGCAACAATGGAACTGATAGAAATAAAAATGGTCATCTTGGGAAGGATGTCACGCCGCAGCCAAGTTTATTAGCCTCCGTTTGACAGATCGCTCCTCACATGATCCAGAAAGCAGTGATAAATGGACAATTCTTTATTTCCCCTAAAAGACCACTTGAGGGCACCACAAGTCAGCCAAAAAGTGACAGAGCTGGAGTCCACTCACTTATCAGCCAGCACCTCATCCAAGGGTGTTAACTCTGAAGTCAGCCAATACTTTAACTGTTGTGTCTGGTCCTCATAGGGGTTTTTCCATACAGCATAAATTAAAATAAACTCCTGTTTAAGACCTTGTTGTAATGTTGCAGTGTTTAAATGTGTGATTGAAAAATGTGTGTTATTAAGAAAGATACCAGCCTGTGCACTAATAAAAGCTGTAAAGAATTTTATTATTTTACCGTTTTTACCCAAACAGGTGAACGAAACATAAAAGGTCAGGGAGAAGTCTGCACAGTCTGTATACACCTACCTGAGAGGAGGTCTAAGGAGTTGAACCACACCTGTGTACAGGCCTGAATCACAGTTCTATCTTTAGGTTTATAGTTATTCAACCTATATTATATAAATGGGAAATGTATTTTTATGAATGGCCTTCTTTGTTTGAACACCAGTCTAAAGGTCCATGGATGTATGAACAGTACTGGAGGGAGCAGAGCTTCTGTTAGACATCATATTATTGGCTCTATTCAAGCTCTGAATTTAAACACTTAAACAAGAAGTTACTAGAAGATTATAGTAGCACACTGGTTATGAATTCTGATTCAGTTCATGAATACTGGCTCTTCTCTCTGTCCAGTAATATACAGACAACGTAGTGCGTTTAAAACATGTGGATATGCAGATCAAAACATTTCAATCATTCCAACAACAACGTGGCCAAGCTCACCAACAAATTTTCCAAATATTTGAGGTTGGTGATGCGTTTGGTTCTCAGTAGTTTCGTTTTTCTACAAGCTCCTCCCTCCAGTAAGTAGAAACTGACAGTAAACAGCACTGTGGTATGATCCCTGCTACACGTCAAGGTAAGACTGTCCCCTTCATTATTTTACTTATTTATTACAATCGATTGTACTTTAGTCTAATCTGTTGAGTTTGCTGTGCCTCGCTGCTGTAATCTGTACTCATACTATTAAAAGCAGCAGTATTTACATACTGGTACCGTGTCTTCAGGCTCTAACAGGGACAACAGTCTAACTGGAATAAAACTCAGTCTTAATCTTTCTATTTTCTTTTACAATATTGTTTAGTTTTTAACTCGCCAATGTTTCTTGACAAGTATTTAAAACATAATTATTCCTCAAGAAAACAGGATGAGTGAGGAGTGTCTTTAAAAATAGGTCATTTTACTATTAAGTATTGTAGCCTACTTTACTACCTTTCAAGTCGCACTGCTACAGAGTAAAAACAAGTCAGCAGTCGTGAATAGTATAAAAATCATGTGCGATAAACTGAAGGACAACATCGTACACCTCGGAAAGTGGTAGGTAATTGTTATATGTGCATACAGCATATGTGTCTGTAATTGCTAAATCAGCTTGTATTTTACAATACAATATACCGTTACGTTAATGGCATTAAGTTTTTAGTTTTTTGGTTTGTTCCAACGGACAGACATGTATTTATGATCGAGTCCAGAGATAATTTAAGCTTTTGATATTAATAT